ATTCTAATAAACTCTCACAAATCCCAGAAATCTGTGGCGGAGCGTCTGAAGCTGATATTGTTTGATAACTGCTGTTTAACGCCGCAGTACGCGATCCGAAAGCTATCACAAGAATGCTGAGTTATGGGCAAAAGTCGGACCACGGACGGGATTCGAACCCGCATCTTCTAAGCAGAAGATGCGGGTTCGAATCCCGTCCGTGGTCCGACTTTTGCCCATAACTCAGCATTCTTGTGATAGCTTTCGATCGCGTACTGCGGCGTTAAACAGCAGTTATCAAACAATAACAGCAGTCCTTAGATATACGTGGCATGGCATCGTAACATTACAAAAACCAGAATTACATATACATCTCCCTATGCGTTATGCCGATCATCTCACTACAAAGTATTTCTTTGAAAGGTTCCATTGAACGTGTCATAATAGAGACAATTTCAGTGCATGACCACCAATGAACCGCAGGACTCAAAATGTGCTCTCGAAACCGCAGTGGTGACCGAAGGTGTCCTGCCGGTCACACTTGAATGCGTCAGTTGTACGCTATAAATGCCTTTCTCATCATTCCTCACCTCATGTTGTGCCTTTTACGCTCATTTCTTCTTGTTTTGTCAGCTCTAGCCATGTCTACGGATTCAATTTGAAAATATAACCCATTGAAATTTTCCCATTCACACTGCCCTCTCACTAGTTCGCTAGTCTTGTATACACTCCAAAAAACTGTTTTCATATCAATCCCACTGCAAAGGTTCACTTGTCTTTTATGACGAGACGTTCGTCTCCCAGTATCTACCCTCTAATAACGAGTTGCTTTCCGTTTTCTTTTTTTTTTGTTAACTATTCTGATATTCACATGAATGTTCGGTTTTGCGCTGATGTCACGTTATCCGTTGATACAATCCAGGTTCATCATGGTATTCCTCGATGCGAGTAATTTTCTCTCATTGTCAGTTCCAATAAAAACTTCTAATAAGTGATCTGTGGTGGAACCTTCAGTGAAAGGGGAATTTAGTAAAGTCTTTCAATCGGACTCGTCGGGTCGGGTCGAGGTGAATAGACCATGCCACGTGAAATTGGCAGTCTGGTTGCTAGGCGTTGGGAGTAACAAACATCCATGGAATTCCCGAAGAAGCGCCACGACATAACATGACTAGGCGTCTCGACTTTCGGACTAAAGTTGGTAACAAATTTCTCGATGATGACGTTCTCTCACATACAGCATGGATATCCCAAAGGTCAGTAATTGCTCATTGTTAATTCCGTTTTTCGATAATAAATAACAATTACTGATAAAGGAACATCTTTTGTCAAAAAAAACGTCTAGGGATGCGGAATTCCCAGTCAAGCTCCAATTGATTCTTCGAGCAAAGAGTGTCGTCGAACGGATTGAAATAACTGCCCACGATCTTCATATCCGTAAGTATATCTCCTGCTCAGAAAGCAAGAGTCGGGCAAGAGATCTATGTTTACAGCGACGCCCACAAAATTGGGCGCTATAGTGATGTAAATACACACCATATCCCGGAGATAGAGAGGGCGTGGCTGCGCAGCTCATCCAAATCCAGTGCAAGATGCACTTCTCACGGGATCTTGCAGCGACCTGCACATTTGAATGAGGTTCACAGCCACGTCCTCTCCATCTGCGAGATATGGAGTGTAAACTGATTAGGTACTTGTGCAGATGCGGCACACGTTGCGCCGCATGCAGTACCACTTTTCTTGTAACGTAAAATTCCCAATCGACAGTATTGAAGCAAACTCCACTATTACCAAGCGTTACTGCGTGTATTGTAGAGTAATCAGAGAACCACTATCTGTAAGCACTGAGACGGGTCGAGGCTCCAAAGAACAATTGATGTTCTTGCTTACCACTCCCTCTGTTCCATGTTCATATTTCCACCTTAGCAAACGGAACAAAAAGATAGGCGTTCGTTGGCGTTTCTGTTCACTCTGATTCAGGCTCACTCTGCATTCCAGGGGAGCAGGGAACACCCCTGGATTCATGCTCACTCTGCATTCCAGGGGTGTTCCCTGCTCCCCTGGAATGCAGAGTGAGTTTAGGTCAGAGTGAACAGAAAACTGAAAGCGTAACATATGGCGACAGTGGATGGACCATAAGCGATTTTCGATGGTACCCTCAAAAACATTATCTGGGCTGCCCTGGAAAACCAACTGATGCACATTAATCAACGCGGATGCCAATAGATCCTCATCGTAGTGATGAATGGAAAGACCACGATATCCAGTCGACCGATTGCTGGGTCGTGAAAAAGGTCTTGCAGTTCTTCAGGCCAAAATTTCGCGCATTTTTCGTTCTATCCAGTGGCCTGATCAATTTTTAAGTAGTTCTCCTGGTTTTTGGCTGGTCGAAGCTAACACTGGCGAAGGCGCAAGATTGTTTTCGTTCCGTTTCAAGTTCATCAGGAAAAATGTGTAGACGTTGAGGGTCATTTCAAGCCAGGTTTTCGTATACAATAAAAAGGGGCTTCACATTCTTGGCTTGTCGGAAAACTGCACTTTATAAGTGAGAAAACCTGTACGTGCAACGATGATGCTAATGGTGATTACTTTCCAGCTCAACGAGTAGCAATAGCCACGTCGGCTGGGGAACAGAGTGGATCCGAGAAAAAACTTTGGTATGTAGTTCAGTTCTGTTCAACTTTGTTATCAATGTCATATCAATAAATGCCCAGGTCCCACGTGCATGATCACTAAAGCCTGCTCTTGCGCTTTCCTTGATAGATGGTAATAGAAACAAGTCGTTACTTCGGAGAATTCATTATCTCACAAGGATTACGTGAAACTTTCTTCCAGCAACCTGACCCTGACTCGAGAGGACTCTTAGAAGAGGCTCGCTCATGTAAGACAGCAGGTCCTTGCTCGGTATACCGTGACCGAACCCTCAAAAAAATTACATAGTGATTTGCCTTAGGAAGAGAAAGCCCACTCCAATAGGACCTTTAGCATGCTTCTGCCAGCGAAACGTTCCAAACACATGCTTGACCGAGATTTCAACTTCCATGAAAGCACCATGAAAAAGGCCAGAATCAGCAAAGCGGCCACATCCAGGGCTTATCATGACGACGAAGAACGTTGGCCGTTCGACGCGACCCACGAATGCTGTCTCTAACGCGACAGCCTTTCAACCAGTGCTTCACTCCTCACTCCCTAACCACCTATCAAATATAACTTCCAGATGAAAGCTCATTCACCTGATCTACTTATTCTGCTCATTGACCTAACGATAAACCACTTATTCTTATTCTATGTTATGACTTTTATTTTTGACCTCACTATTTCAACTCCTAGTCGTCGTCCTTCTTTCTCCAACTCCTCCTCAGCTTACCTTCCATTCATTGCCTACACATACTGTCCTTGCAAAGGAATCAATCAGAAGCATTGCTGCCTTCTGGATATTAGTTCGCCCTGATCGGCCCGGTCGATTGAAATTGCATGTTCCTTTTTCACCTTCCATCACATGTTTGAAAAGTGCCCCTTATAGAAGAAATGAAATTAGCCTGGTTCATTTTTTGTAGCGAAGTGGAATTCAAGCCCGGTTCCGAAGCGAGCAGTCAACTGAGGACCATCTATGTTGATGTCGTCTGTACAATAGTTATTCTCTATGTCAATAAGCCACACGAAGACAAAAAAGTGAATCCATTTCATCAGGTACGACTATAAAGCATTCCAGCAAAACTTACCCATTCCGGTAATGTCTTGCTGTACTCGTATAGAAGCCTGGTACCAGAAAGTCAACCCAGAAAAAATGTTTTGAAGAGGGTTCGTAGAAGTAGAAAAAATCGTCTGAAGCCACTCAATTACATCCACTTCAGCAAAACTGAATGTGGTTTCCGGCATCGAGTTGCCAGCCTTCCAGCAACCTACGCGAGTGACCCGGTCAGTTGGAGAGCTCTTCAAGTGCACTACACATAGGTCGCCTAAAGCTCAATGGCAGCGATGGTTTCACCTCCTACTGCTCATGGAGGCAGTTGTGGAGAGCTTACTGCCCGTCCTGAAAGAAGGAAATTTTAGGGAACGCCTTTCTTGAACCTTCGGGCACTTTGTCATTCCGACTTCCTAATTTCGATTTCGAAAGCGTGTGTCATGAGCAAAGAGGTTTTGCACTCCCATTAATTGTACTGTCTCGTTTCATTCTATTGTTAGCTCTCATATCAATGAAATTTTTGAGAACTAGCATTATTGGCTCTTTGCCGCGCCAGTCTTCAAGAATCAGGTCACTTTCAACCCATTGCGTACCGCCGCTCATTCGTTGCTGTATGGCCGCGTGCTGCACATGGTGCAGCACGATGATTTTTCCGCTCCATCTGGATTATTTTGCATCCTTTTCTGCTACAAAGTTGCGAGCACGGAGACCAACATTAGTACGTGGGACCTCGATCGCTGAAGGAGCACTTGGGTTATTGACCTCTTTCATGAAATACTTCAATTGCGATCTTCTTCATTTATTTTCAACGTTCATAAACACTCATAAAGGATTAAACAGGACACCGTTGATGATATGTGTGGAAACACTTAATGCAGAAATATTGATCGCAGGTTGTGCATCTTGTATTCACTAGTATTGTGTGGTTTCTAGCGTACGGAGCACCATTCGTCCGGGAAAGGTTCCTGTAGCATGAGACGCATCTCCTCCTTGAGCTCCTCTTCGGTCCACCTACTTCGTACAGCTTCGGTCTCGAGGAAGCGTTCGCTGGTGCGTTATATCCTTCCAAAATGGACTCTATAATGCTGCACTTGAACTGCTGATTCAAGTGCAGCATTATAGAGTCCATTTTGGAGGATTTCTTTGGAACAAGCTGGTCTCAAGTCCCATTTGGAAACAAATCGCCAAAAACTTCAGTAGTTCGCCCTCGACGAGATTAATCCAGTTTCGAGTACTTTGCGATAGCATAACGATTGGTTTCTCTTACAATCAAATCAACGAGATCGTTTGTGAAAAATCGCCGGAAAAATTGGATTGGGTACTGGTAAGATAGAACATCTTCATCCAGTACACCACCGAAACCTTGAAAGTCAAAATTGTTCTGCCTGCTGATATTTGGGGTCCATTGAATCCCTCCATCGTTTGTATAGGTTGTCCCAAAAGTTCGTGGACACTTTTTGAATCTCGTATCAGATTTTTCCGCAGCCATTTCGAGATCCAGTTATGTGGTCTATAGTGTGAGGTAAGCATTCCACAGCTTCTTCACCGTCCCTCGCAGTCGCTGTTCTCATATGAAAAACGGTAATTGAAATTCATCATTTTCGACACACTTCGCTATATGAATCTCTACCAAGCCACAACGTGGTTGGAGCCATAAGCGGCATTTCCCTTATTTAGATCTTGATGTTAGCTTCCACAGTACGGCTTTGGAATGGCTCAATTGCTTCTGCTTTAGTGACTTCTATCCGGGTGAAAAACTTCGTCCAAGGAGGCCACCTGCCTTGGATTTGGACCTACTGTTCCTTGATTAAAACCAATTCGTACGAATCAACTTGCTACCTAGTCCCTTACACTTGACTGGTCCCAAAGCACAAATGAGAAGGCC